AAGAATAAGATCAGCAGGGCCAGAATACCACCAGGGATACATTGGATGCCAAGACTGACGCGCCATTGGTTGTTATCCGTGGGTGCAAACCCGATGTACGTCCCGTATGAGATCCAAGCAGCAGCCAGAGCACCAACTCCAAGCATGAACTGTTGCAAAGCTGTGACTCGTCCACGGATACTGGGGTGGCAAAGCTCGGCCTGGTAGAGGGGAATGATCATGGTCAAGAAACCGATACTGTGAAGAGAACGGTCAGCAGTTGAATCGCATACGCTTTAGTGGAATGTTGAACTCACCCGACACCAGCCAGAGCACGGCCAGCATAGAGATAACCGAGATTTTGGGCAGCGGCCTGGAAAGCACCGCCGAGAACGAAGATGGCACCACCGATGAGAATAGTCATCTTACGGCCGAGCTTATCACCGGCCGGACCGGCGCATCCGGCGCCGATGAAAGCTCCTCCGGTGAAACATGACACAACGGCACCACTTGGACAATGTCAGCTCAAGTCATTTGAGAGAGTGGCTGTCGGAATGTCGCATACATTTCCTTAGGGTCATCCCCGAATTTGGTCTTGAACGACTGCGAAGCAATTGCGGATGCAATAACACCTAAATCGTAACCGTAGTTGAGAGAACCGAGCGATGCGAAGACGCTCACGAGGAACTGATACCACTTGGGAGGGAGAGCCATAGTGGGCTGGGTGCTGCTGAGCAGAGAAGAGCAGTTTCTAATCGCTTGCCAATGCCCGCAAGGCTTGTCCACGAGATGTCAGATTGAAAGATTTCTGATCACAGCGGGGTACATTTGATGGTCACAACCGAACCGACTCATCAAACTGCAACGAAGCCTCGAGTTGAAGCCGGAGAAGGGATCGTCGCGTCTTTATAGGAAGTTCGAGTGACCGGATGGGAACATGGGGTATGAAGCCGTGGTTTGCTTAGCGCAAACAATGGACGGGCAGGCGAGTGAGGACCCCTGGCTTTATTCGCGTTTCCGCGTGCTGCAAACCCGTGGTGAGACCGCATCGGTGACGGTTGCCCCGGCCCTAGACCCCATGCCCCAGGTTGCGCTGGGATTTGGAGTCGCGCCAGTTTGCTGCTGTGTGGCGGCCGATTCTCCAATCCCCACACTTTTTGGGCACGCGGCACGCGGGGAAAGTTGCCAGGATGAGGTTGTGGTATGGGTGGAACGGGCCTGTTGTTCGGTTCATCAACACCGACGATGAACTCAGGTGCATCTTTTCAACCATCCGACAGATTGATGGAAAGCGACGGCCTCAGTTATTGCGATAAATCCTGGTTTTTTTCTCTTCTTTTTTTTTTATTGGAGTAGTATGAGGCCCGATGTTTTTATGCCGTCATGTTTGGGGGTTATGAAATTCTGTTGGTTCCAAGGTGTTCGCGAACGGGAAAGATCATCTCGCGCCATCATTACTCAGATCCACAGAGTTCACAGTTTCGTTCCTCATATTCGGACGTGCAGATACACTCTACACACAGGCTCGTAGGGGCTCTGCGAAGCATACGCGCAAAACTCATATGGCTCAATCACTTCGGCAAAAGCTGCTGTTTTGCTTCGCTCTATTGCGACAGGACTGTCTGCCCACAAAGATTGGAGGAGAATCAAGCTTCATTGATGTTAGCTTCATGCCGTATGCGCCCCAATCATCACCCTGCACTGGCCTGTCGAAACCCCACACTTGGCCTTCCCTCTCCAGCCTCCTCAATCGGCCCCCTCTCGACCGTTTCCGAGACAAGCCTCTTTCTGTTGATAGCTTAATTCCATCACCCTTGGCATTTGGCATCCCATGCTCATCCGCCAAGTTAGGACGCGCGCCTGAAACGGGTTGTGACCTGATCAAGTTTAGCAAATAACATTCGGCCGCAGTCATGGATCCCAGCGAGAAAGCGGAAGAGACAACATGGTTACTCTGGTGGAAGACAAGGATGCCGGCCACACACTTCATCGACAGACCAATCTATGTCTTTTGAAGCCCACCTCCCCACTTTGAGACCATGCACCCGCGTTGTTATCGACTTTCTCCGCATGGTATCGTCTATGATTCGTGCGCCTGTTCCATCACTTCCAATGTCTAGAGCCGCGCTCTCCTTTCCTCAACACTGGATCACTTTGCCGAGGATTCAATGTGGGTTGGGCCCACCCCGCTCACTCCAGGCCCGTCTTCAAGGAGCTCAGCGCGAACGTCGCTGGAATAGATCCGAGAACTGCGTGGTCTGACGGCTGATGCGCAATCCCTTCACTGCCGGCCCAATATCCTGCTCTGCTGCTTTTCTGCCGTTGGCTTCCGTGACCCTGTTGCTTCACCGCTTGCCCCCGCCCTGGCGACTTCATATTCGGCCTCGATCCGGAACCGTCAGGTAAACAGGCCACGTTCATTTCCACCACTCATCGGACGGCTACTCTTTTGTGCATAAAGTTCTCAGCTAGAGTGAGGAACATTGGTGCGCTCACAAAAGTACACGGTTCGGATCAAACACACCATTTGGCGCAATCATGGCTACCTTCACCAAGATCGCAGAGGATGACCGCCCTAGCATCTCTGTGAATCCCAACCACCCAATCGCGCGCATTGATGACAACACTTACGGCGGCTTCACAGAGTAAGCATGGCTACTGCGCCGCTCCCTCCCGCAAATCCGAACTTCAAGTTTTATTGATACATGCGCCACAGGCACATGGGACGCTGCATCTACGGTGGCATTTACGACCCCGGCAACCCACTCTCCGATGAGAATGGCTTCCGCAAGGATGTCATTGAAGCTGTGAAGGAGCTGAACTGCCCTGTCATGCGTTATCCCGGTGGCAACTTTTGCGCCACTTACCACTGGATTGATGGCGTTGGACCCAAAGAGAAACGTCCTAAGAGGTATGCGAAATCCCCTTTCCATAGAGTTCCCCCAGCCCCGGGATCTCAACACGGAAAGCATTGGATCGTAGAGAGTTGGTGTGCAACGGTGGCTAATGTTGAATTGACGTTAGGCCTGAGTTGGCTTGGATCGGCGTCGAGTCTAATGAGTTCGGAACGGACGAGTTCATGAAGTGGTGCGAGGTCGTTGGCGCAGAGCCCTACCTGGCTCTCAACTTTGGTACTGGCACGCTAGACGAGGGTACGTCAATATTCCACTTTGCGACTTTCGGTTTCGGTAATGGGTTGCTAAAAGCGAGTCAACTGTGCAGCGCTCGCGTGGCTTGAGTATTGCAACTCCGACAGGGACACATACTACGCCAACCTACGGCGTCAAAACGGCCGTGAAAAGCCTTACAATGTGAGTAAACCACATTAGTTATGCAAGAGCAGCACTCTTAATTAAATTCTAGGTTAAGTACTGGGCACTGGGCAATGAGATGTGGGGTCCCTGGCAGGTTGGCCAAATGACCAAGGAGGATTACGCCAAGCAGGCCTACCAATGGGCCAAAGCTATGAAGCTCCTCGATCCCTCGATCGAGCTGATTCTCTGTGGTGAAACTGGCTTCAGCAGCTGGGACACGTATGTCATCAAGGAGTGCATCACGTGGAGCATGCACGGCCTTGGCGGTAGCACTACTGCGTCGTTGATTGACATGCACAGTATTCACCTTTACACTGCTTCAAACGACCATCTCAAGAATGCTACTGCTCCACGAGCTGCGGAGCGCGCAATCGAAATCACAGGAGGCCTCATCGACTTGGCCCGTATTGAAAACAAAGTTCCCCCGACATGCAAGAGACAGAAGATCTGCTTCGATGAGTGGAACGTATGGGATCCTGTCCGAGCTCCGGGTGAAGAGGGCGGTGAGGAGTCGTAAGTCGGAGATCCCGTCGCGAATATGTGCCGTCATTAACACGGAATTCAGTTACACGCTGTCGGATGCCCTAGCTGTTGGTGTGTGGCTGAATGTGTTTGTGCGTCAAGCCAAGTACATTGGTATGGCCAACATCGCCCAGTCCGTCAACGTCATATCGCCGTTGATGACCACCAAAGAGGGTATCACCAAGCAAACCACGTGGTGGCCTCTGTTGCTCTTCAGCAAGTACATGAGAGGTCAAGTCATTGCGACCAATGTTCGGTCTCCAGAATATGAGGGACCCACTGAGCCCAACTGGATCAGAGGTGCTATCGAAACACCTTACCTGGACGTCAGTGCCACGATCGATGATAATGGCTACATCAATCTGGCAGTAGTCAATGTTCACGAGACCAAGAGTTTCATCACGGACTTAGACGGCATTACCTCCGGTGCTGAGGTCGATGTCTACACTGTTACTGGTGACAGCGTCACACTCGTCAACACAGGCGACAAAAACCCCGTTGGGATCGTTGAAGGCAAGTGGGACGGCAAGGGGGCGTATGAGTTTGTGAAGGCATCTGTTACTCTACTGAGATGGAAAGCTTAAGATAGGAACATGTTATAGATGTACATATCGGATTCAATATAGGGTCATCCGAGATCTCGCGTGTCGCGAGATCGTGTGCATTGGCTCCGAAAGGGAGCGGGCCAATTGTCAGGGCCGTTGTCAAGTAGACCTCTAGGACAATAGCGACACTCGTGACCTGATTCGGTTCATTATTCACAGCTTTTGATGCTGTCAAATCCTTTCCACCGCCTCCAAACGCTCGGCGTAGGTGGTGTGTGCATGTACTTTCTGTTCCAGATGTTTCTGTCTCCAGCAGCGGTCTCAATCTACTCTCAAATGATATTGGCGTAACAGAACAGAAGACTATCAGGTTTGCATGAAGCACATGTCGTCATGACCAGACGCGGGCGTACTGGTGATTTGGACAAAGGCGTACATTCTGACCGCAAGCCGTCTTCTTCCCTGCGGCCTGCCCGAAGCTCGCTCTGAGTCCACAGCGGTCTTGTAGCGACGTTTCATCTAAAAAAGGACCTACTCGCTTTCACTGGTTTCTGCCTTTTAAGCGGATGTGCCTCCGTGTTCAGCACAAAGTCATCTAGGCTTATGAGATCGGGCGGTGAAAATATGAGATAGAAATACTTCAGTGTTTCTGACAACCAAAAGCTCTGTCACGTTGAATAGTTAGCATACTTCGCAACTCAGCTTACTTTTTGAGACATCGAACTCACCTCCATCGAGTCTAATTTTTGTGTTTTGCCTTCCGCTGTTACGTCGGCGATGGCGGAGTTCGCAAACGGTGTCTCGGTAGCCTTTACAATGGATTGGAACATTGTCCAGGCAATCTCCTGATACTCGCGGTCGCCCGTCATTCTGTACAAAAGAAAGATGCTTTCGATTGCCTCCGGACGGAGGATATATCGAGGGTCACGGGCGTGAGAGAACCCCTTCCTCAAGTTCCCGTCTCCCTCGCGCTTCCAGCGTTCATCATCCCACGGACACTTGTTCAACGAGGGACATGTGACCATGCCAAAAATCTCGGGCATTAGTCCCGTGGGAAATGAGGAGTAGGCCCAGGCACACCCGCGCGCCAGTCTCTTGGCCAAGCCCACATGCTCCTTGATGCCGAACAACTTGCCACCCAGGCCAAACATACCGCCGACAAAACAGGACAAATGCTGGCTCTCGGGGTTTTGTCTCACACCGTTCTCGACAAAGGCCGTCCCGGGAAACAAAATATCTTCACCTCCCGGAAGCATTGGTCGAAATAGTAGGTGTTGTTGAGCAATTTTCATGGCGTCACGGTACATCTTTTCGTAGGCAGGATCAGTCCCGCCAAGCAAGGCATACATCTTGGGTATGTACTCATAGAGAGAGTCAGCGAGCGCGCCTAGGGTGAATTCGTTGTGGTTAACGACAGATTCGTCGCGAAAGTTGATCAAGGCCGGCCACATTCCGGGCAGTTGGCTCTCATGTTGTGTTCGTTCTAGAAAGAGCTTAACTCTTTCGATCGCATCGAAGTACTTCGGTTCGCCAGTCAGCTGAGAAAGCCTAGTGAACTCGAGAGACAGAGAACAAGGCGAGGCTGATGGATCGTTCGTGCCCGCGATAAGCTCCCCGCTCTTTGCTGCTTTGAAGTCTAACCAGAATGGAGGCATGCGATTAGGGGTGTCGAAGGCAGCATAAAGCATATCCCCTAGCTGGATGGCCTTGGCTAGCAGCACTGGTTCGCCGCTGAGGTCGTAGGCACTGAGAAGGCCACCAAGATGGCGAATAGTTGTCTCAAAGACGTTGACGGACGTTTCGACCGTGTTATCCCAATCAATCTTTGCGATGGACGCCAAGGCCAGCCCGAACTCATCGTGTAGATCCATTATCCATAAGGTATCGAGAGCGTCAACGAGAGTAGCTGCGTAGCCTCCAAAGGTGTTCTTGCCCTTGGCAGAGACGGGCGTAAGCTCGTCATACTCCCAGGCGTATTTCTTGTAGCTCTCCCAGCTCCTGACAAATGTTTCTCGAACTGCAGCTCGTCGTGAGTCGGACGTCGCATCGTTTGGTTGGCCGCGCTTCGCGCTGGGCGTGAATTGGACTCGTGGAAGTTCCTTCGGTGGTTCGGTCGGGAGGTGGTGCATCGATTCTGGAGCAATCGCATATTTGTGTTGATGGCTCGCCCAATCGTAGCTACTTTGCGCAATGGGAATGTTGCCATACTTTGGCCTCGGTCGGTGGTCGGAGGGTTGTAAAGTGTTGAAGAGCAGGAAGCCGAAGAGAATGGCGCCGATGATGATGGAGCGCCGCTGTCGTCGAGTAGCCATGTTGTCACATCGAGGATGGTGCCAGTGTTCGCTCAAAGCTTGCTGCAGTATGTAAGCTTAGGCTCCCTAATTAGACCAGTCCATAGCTTTAGAAACCAGCCCCATGGCCCTCGGCGCGGAGCTTGGGCCCAGCTTTCCCCCGTCCCATGGGGCTGTTTGTCTCAGGAGTCAGGAGTCAGGAGTCAGGAGTCGCGGGCTGTGACGTGGCGCCCAATAGCAAACAGACAGCTGGGCCATTTTGTGTAGGAACTGCAGCCAATAATGCTGGAGCTCCGTGTTCGAGGGTCTTCGTCCAAGGTGCAAATCAGGCGAGCGGAGAAAAAATCTCGGCCGGGGTGGTGCTGGAGTCAATGCTGCCGGCTTCCGCGCTACTTAAATACAGCCGGCCAGTCTCCAGCGTCTCAGAGAGTTAGCTGTAATAACTTAACAAGGGACACGCCAGATGATTCGGTCAAGCTCGTTTTCTTTAAGCCAGCCTCTTGTTGGTTCAAAAAGAAATATTTCGAGATTCTGTTTGCCCCAATTTTAAACCCTGAGCCTCTATTTTGGACAGTCTACCACGACTGTACGCCATCCTGTGTCACAATCTTGCCAACATCGCCATCTCTGTCACCTTCTATGACTTTCTTGATCAGCTCGCCGCCCTTCCTTGGTTCTCCAGCTCCCATTTTCTTGAGCAACTCGGGATTGCCCCCCAAGCCAGTAGCCAGGAATCCTGGCGAAATCCCCCAAACCTTGACGCCGTCCTGCTCGAAGAGGTAATGCCAACTCAACATCACCATGTTTAATGCAACCTTGCTTGAACGGTAGCCCATCGGCGTTGGGCCCTTCGGCCATCCCGCAGGAGTTGTTATCTTGCCCAAGTGCGGCATGAGACCATGGCTCGCGATGGCGGTGAGATTGGAAAGACCACTGGTGACAAAGAGGAGACGCGGGTCTGATGATTTCAGTAGCAAAGGTGCGAAAACGTGTGTAATGACGTGGGCACCCGAGGTGTTGACGTCGTACGCCTTGTTAAAGGACTCGCGGACAGCGGCGATGTCATTGGCGCGGGCGACGATGGTACTGTCGAATGAGGCCCCTGTAGTTGCAATGTCCATGTCAGCTCTCGCAAGGGTCCCGTAAGGTCGAATAAGTTCTCACCAGCATTGTTGACCAGTATATCAACAACTCCATGTTCATCGCTGATTTTCTGGAAAGCTTTTGAGATGGAGTCGTCGCTGGTGACCTCGATCTGCAGGGGCTGCAAAGAGCTCGGGGTAGCAGGGTATTCATCCTTGAGCCGAGCAATGGCTTCATCTCCCTTGTCCGGCGATCTTGATCCTAATATGATGTGATATGGCCTGCCAGACTCGAGAAGCTGCTTTACAGTCTCATATCCAATGCCGGTGTTGGCACCAGTAATGAGCACAATCCGCTTGGTGGACATCGTAGGTAGCTGAAGCAGATTGAGCGTTCCGCGAAGCGTCTTGATGATGTGACTATCATAAGAAATGTGAATAAATGACAATTCGATTGTTGCCGCCTCTTGTTTTTCTTCGTTCTTTGGATAGAATGAGTCCTATAAGAACCATTTTAAGCATGCACAAGTAAACAAGCAACCTAAGGCCCTGATCTGCCATATTCTCGTGTTTTTTAACCTCTTGAGGGCTCTACTTTAGAGGCGTAGATATGGCGTATATACTGCTGCTAAGTTAATATTAGCTAAAAGTATTAAAGTAACTATAAATAATAAATATCTTACTAACCCCTTATACTTAAATAAATATAGAATCACTAATATATAGCTCTAGCTACCTAAATTTACTGATTTTAATATTAAATACTTAGATCCTATATCTTCTAGGCGTACTTTTATATATTAGAGTAATCTATAAGATAGATTATGATTTTAAGTATTTTGATAATAATAAGAGCCCCCCTAATATACAGGAGATAGTACTTAATAAGATCTAAGTAGCTAAGTCTTCCCCTTTTAATTTAGAGGATAAGGGACCTCCTACTAATAAGCCTTTATCTCTACTAATACTTAGCTAATTTAGCCCTAATTAGTTAACTTAGTAAAGTTAGATAAGTAAAAAGATATATTAGACGCTAACCCTCTGTAATAAGTTCTTACGCCTCACTCTTAAGTACTAATAAAGTAGTATTATTATAAAGATAGTGATACTAAAGAGGCTAATAAATACTATTCTACTTATTTTAGTAGTAGAGTTTCTAAGAGACCCCTTCTCTATTAAAGCTCTTGCTAGTAAGTATAAAGCTACTTATACCTTATTTAAGAAGGTTAAGGCGTTAATAAGACTCTTTAGCGTTAAGTATAATAATAAATTAAGTAAAATCTTAATAACCTAAAAGTACTAATATAACTAGTATACTATATATTTAGGCTACTAATAAGTAGAGTAGTATAATCTGCTTAATATAGAGATACTTCTAGAGTTAATCTAGCTATTAAAGTTAATAACTAGTAAGAATATTATAGAGGTAAAAGATATACTCCCTTACTAACTTACTATATATAAAGAGGTAGGTAGGCCTATAAGCTAGTTAATAGGAGTATTAATAACTAAGATAGCAGCATACTTACCCCTCTTATAAGCTACTATAGTATTAGATATAATACTACTTATTACTATATAAATACTTATTATAATATTAAATAATTATAGCTGTAAGTAGATAAGTTAATAATAAGATCTAGATAAGATTAAGGTAGTAGATAGTAATATTAATATCTAGCTGATTTCAGAAAATATTATAGCTATACTGCTAGTGAGGAAGAGGAAGAATAGTTATATATTAGTAGCAAACTATATAAATAAATATATAAAGCAGATTTTTATTAATAGGTGCTACTAGCGCCCTACTAGCTTTAATAATATTTAGAAGGCGATTAATATATATTAGACCTTGCTTAAAGTTAACTTTAGGTTAGAAAGAGTTATTAATACCTTAAACTTCTTCTTAATAGTAATAATAAAGGTAGTAGTATTTAACAGCCTATAAGAAAAGGATAATAAACTACTGTTTTTATAGAGTAATAGTATTAGTTAGGTTAATCTTAATAATAGGGTTTTTATACCTATAGAGTGAGGAAGAAGGTTATAGAGGTTAATATTAAGGTAAGGTTAAGAGGGGTAATAAGGTTAAAGTTAACATTAATATTAAGAGGGTTAGAGGGCGCTAAGTAAGCTAAATATTCACTTATTAAAGATAGCTACTATTAAGTACTATAAAACACTAAATTAATTAACTATATAGTAATCTACCCTAATTTTTACTATTATAACTTATCCTTCTACCTCTTAAGATATTATTAATATGCCTCCTATAGCTATATAGTAAGATTAAAGCAGACTTTATACTTAGGTCTCTTGCCTACTTATAATCTCACCTAATTTTTAGCTCTCTTAAGAGCTTCTGCTTACTGCATATTAATAACGTATAAGCTATTAGATTTCACTAAAAAGTTCTATACTATTATTATAATGTATATAATATTAACCTAAGTTATAAAGTTATACTTAGCTGTATTCTTACCCCTTATAATCTTAAATTTTCGCTTTACTAAGCTAAAAACCCTCTTAATAATACTCCTCAGCCTTATATAGGTGAGGTTATATAACTCCTTTTTTAACTATAGCTTTATATTTAACTTAAGGTAGTTATAGAGGTAATATCTCTGCTTAATAAACAGCATAATAATACTAGTATTACTTTTACTAAAACTAATATTAGTAAGATAAAATTAACTTACCTCTGCTCTAAACGATCTTATAAGGGTATAACTAAGTAAGGTTTTATTATTTATACTACCCTCTATGCTAGTAAGTATATATAAAAAAGTGTAGTTAAACTTTACTATAGTGAAGATATTCTATAAGATATTACTTTTTTAATTAAAAAACCTCTTCTACTAACTAGCTAGTATATAGGTAGGAATTAATATCTTATTAATAGCACTAATATATTTATTAAAGATAGCATTCTTAGCGTTAAGCTTAATATCTAGTGAGATATATAATTCTAATAGTAGAGTTACTACCTCCTTATAGAGGCTGATAAAGGTGTTAATTATAGTATAGAAGCTTCTTAATACTACACTCTATAATACTTTAAATTAATAGGCAGTATTATACTAAAGCTCTCTAAACGCTAAGATATATAGTATAATTAATAACTTATACTTAACTAACTAATATTAAGTATTATTAACACTATACTAGTATAGCTAGCATACTAGTAAGTTAAATATTCACTTTAATAGTTAGAAAATATCCTTAAACTTAATATCAGACCTAATAAGTAAAGCTTTAGCGATTTAGGTAGCCTTAATAGCCCCTCTAAGGTAGATTATAATCTACTTAAATATTACTAAGTTAACCTTATTATTATTATTATTATTAATAATATTATTAAAAGTGATAGTAATAAAAATAGCTGCTTATACCTTATTAGAGCTATTATTTATTGCTAATTTAAAAAGCTTATAAATATCTATCTTAGGCTTATTATATTCTATAGTAAATAAAAGATTAGCCTCTATTTAAAGTCCCTATATTAATAGACTTATTAAGTATCTCATAGTAAGGAATATCCCTCTCTAGTATCCTCACTAGCTTCTCTATTACTACTATAACTTTAAGATCTTATTCTATAGAGCTAATACTACTTTTTTTATTCTATAACCTTATAAATAGAAAGCTAGGTAACTAAGCCTCTCTAGGTAGTAAGAGTGTTAATCCTACTACCTAGCAGCTAATTTTTAGTGTAGTATAATAGCTAGAGGGATCTGAGCGTCTATATACGTCGTTTTAGCTTCTTCTTAAGTTATATAGCAAAAAACGGGCCTAAAGTGGAATGGCGTGGCAAAAAACAGCATTTTTGCTTATTTTATGCAGCTGTGGCGAAGGCGCCAGAAACACGAGAATGTGGCAGATCAGGGCCTAATTCTGCCTTACCACACCATCGCATTTTGGAGCTCGCGCCCGGATTTAAGCTTCTAGGCTCGCATCAAGCCGAACCTCTCTGGGCGGTCTCTCGCTTCTCCCATCCGTCAGTATAAAATACAGGCTCCAGTGACGCACAATAAGGGAAAACAGCGTTTGGCGGTCAAAACTCATGCTTTTATTCTCAAGAAGATAGAGCAGCTGTCAACACAGCACCCATCAACGTTATGGTCGAATTGGGGCGGGGACCTGACGAAGCAAGTCTCCCACCTGTGCGACCGTCGGGACTGCTTTAAGCCCGACCACCTATTAGACGAGACAGCCCAACGCAGTAACTCTCGTTCAGGCTGCCCCGGCCCGATCTACTGCGGTGACCACGGCCACCTCATTGTCAACTCAGCGCCCATGATCCCCCTTGTCTTAGACTCACTAGAGACCATATCAAGTGCTGCATCGCCCAGGTGGATGAGGTCGTGGTCGTTGGTCGTCCACAACGTCGGGTTGTGTCCCGCGGGCTGCCCACCGTGCGCCTCCTCAGAGGCGAGATAGTCGGAAACTGTCGCCGGGCGCTGTAATACCCCGCAAGCACGCCGCTTCTAATTCACTCTCTTCGCCCCATCACAACACAGCGTGTCCTCGGCAATCTTTCTCGTTTCGCCTTGAGATTCATGATCCACGCCCCAAATCAGTCAGCTTCAATTTATTGCCTCTCATGGCGAAATCAGTCCTCATTATCGGTGTCAATGGCACTTTGGGCGCCAAGATCCTAGATGCCCTGGTCGCTTCCCAGTCTTTCAAACTGAGTGCCCTTAGGCGTGCGGGCTCCAAGAGCACCATCCAGTACCCAGTTGATCAAGTTGCTGTCGTCGAAGTCGATAGCGATCTCTCTTTTGAGGGCTTGAAGAAAGCATTCACTGGGCAAGATGCCGTCATCGTCAGCTTCCGTCTGCGAGACCTCGAACAGCATCTGCGCATTGCTGAGGCCGCCGAGGCCGCCAGCGTAAAGCACCTTATCCCCGCCGATTTCGGCAGCATTGACGCTGATAACCCTCGCGCCCGCGAGCTCATTCCCCTCTATCGCCACAAGAGAGCTGTCCGACTCAAGGCTCAAGAACTGGCCGACAAGAACAAAGATTTCGCTTGGACGGGCATTGTCTGCGGTCATTTCTTCGATTGGGGCATCAGAGAAGGGTTTCTCCACGCCTATCTGGACAAAAAGGTGATCGACATCATTGACGGCGGTAATTTAAAAGCATCTGCTGCCACTCTCCCCAGGGTGGGCGAAGCCGTCGTGCGCATTCTCCAGAAGGGTGTGACCGACGTGACGAGAAACAAGACGCTTTTTGTTCAGAGTTTCTGCATCACTCAAAAAGAACTCATCAAGAGTCTAGAGAAGGCAACAGGCGCGGAATGGAAAGTCAACGACCTCAACTCTCAGAAATTCATCGAAGAGCACAAGACGAAGGCAGACGCAGGCGATCACAATGCCATCGAAGACCTTGTATTTGCAGTCGGCACTTTAGATGCCGATTGGACCAAGCATCCTGACTTCGCCATGGAGGCTTTGGGTTTGGAAGACGAGGACTTAGATGCCATAGTCGCAGAGGTTGTTGCCAACCCAACCGGGAAATAAAGACAACAACGCAGTTTTCCCGCATCGAATATATTCAAGCTATGGTCGTCATCGACTAGTAATGAGCCTTCCACCAATTGCGTTGCGCTGTCCGCTACGATCTATATCTCTTGGCTCCCGCCTGACACCTTCTTGATAGCGTCGGGCAAGTTCTGCATCCCCTCAAGGAATACGTCGAATTCATTCTTGACTTCAACCATGTCTTCATCGATATCGTCCGTCCAACGATGAATGTAGATTGTCTTCATTCCCAAGTCCTTGGCCGCCCTCAGATCGTAGGCGTGTGCTGCAACCATGAGGACTTCTTCCGCTTTAGCATCAATAAGATCAAGTGCTTTCCTGTAGGCTCCTAGGTTGGGTTTGTAAAGACCCAACAATTGGCTTGAGAAAAGCATGTCGAATTTCAGCCCTGAAGAACGACAAAGGTCTAGTTGCAGCCGACTAGTGCCGTTTGCATGCACGAAGACTTCAAGCCCGTAATCTTGCCTAACACTTCGTATAGCCTCTTGCACCTCTGGCCATGCAGACTGAGAGTGCCATGCATCGATCATTTTTTGTTTGGCCGAGGTATCAAAGATAGCTGTGTGTTGTGGCAGCCCGTCTAAGATACTTTCGAGAACGCGGTTCAACGTTATGTCGATGTTTTCTGGGGGAAGGTCTTGGAGGAATCTTGCGTTGTTTTCGATGAAGTATTGTCTGCGCCATTCTAACGTGAATTTCGAAGCCTCGTCTCTGGGGATTGAAGACGGCCAAGATTGGAGCACACTTGAGTGCCAGTCAAGGCACGTTCCCATGAAGTCGAAGAAAACCGCCTTGAACCTTTTCGTCATACTATTCGACGATGTTGAAGATTTGTTGTGGTTGGTATTATATAAGGTAACTTAAGTATGGATTGACTGACTGTCTCAAACTGGATGGTTGGGTTAAGGGGGTTTTCAGGGCTTTTATCTTTTACCTGTAATGCATCGTAGCTGCAGATCAGCAATTAGTAATTGCAACAGCAGTTGATGTCGTCGAAGGGCGTGTCCATCCTCTCAGATACCCTCTGCCTAACGCAACCGCTGCAGACTAGAAATATACAGGATCAGCGTCAACCATGTCAACCAATCACATAACCCACGCTGCTCTGGTGCGATCGGGATGCATCGGCATATGTGCCCCTTCATGGCATAGGGCAGCAACACAAAAAGTCCCTGGGCTTGCCATAAATCAGACAGAATTCGCCTACGGAGCTGATTACGGAGAATATGCCCAACGCCCCGCATACATAATTCTTCTGGGCAGGGCTAACGTTTCTTGAGAGCCTCAAATGTTTTTTTTTTTTCTTCCCTTCTAAGTTTTCTTCTTCGCAGTTTGCCGACTGGAGGCGCACCTTGTTGACTGCCGTATGACTCTGACGGGGAAACATGTATTACATCACTCACACTCATGCTTGACTCCATCACATTACTAAAAGGCTCATGGAATATTACTAATATCTCTTTATGCCTATCCTATCCCTAATAGCACCACGATGTAGTTATAGTGAGTGTTATGTGACTAGAGTATGATACCAGACCCGAGTAGACTTTCTCTTACGAGAACTGTAGTTCCTGACATGCATTTGGCCGAAAGTCCAAGCTACGAAGTCGCCCCTGCGCAAATATCAAAGCCTTTGATAGCCTTCTTGTCGGTGAATTGAATGGTCACAACGAATATGATCAGGGAACTGAGGAAGCCCATTGCGAAATATTGACCCGAAGGTATTCAGTTGTAGAGTGCCTCGTAAGAGACGTCATGGCACCACGCAAAATGATGGGTAAACCCCGTGTATGATTCAATTGCCATCCTGCAAGACAATTATTTCAGCCATCAGTATGTGATAGTCGCCACTTTGCGAACATACTTGTCGTTGTTGCAATTCAAGATATTATCGAACATCCATCTGCCCACGTCCTCTCGGCAAATTGTATATCCTATGGCTAGGCTCTTCACGCCACTGACAGGATCTTCGACACCGACCTTGATTGCAACACCAGAAGTTTCGTTTCCGTTGGTGAGAAAACTAGCTCGGAGAACTGTCCATTCTTCTCCGGAGTTGAAGAGAAGCTCCTCCAACGCGCGCTTATCCTGGTGTGGTGTGGAGAGAAGGCCCTTGTATATGGGGTAAATGATAAGCGGCGTGTCTCTGCCAAACTTGGATATGCCAGTGCTGCTCTGTCCGATGACACGAGGACGTCCAGAAACTCCTCTTTCGGTGCGTAGAGTCTTGATGGCATTGAGAAGAACAGCCATGCCATGCTCACATACATGTACGTCCTCAAGAGTCATTTTTCGCAACTCAAACCAGGCACCAATGGTGGAGATGACGAAGTCCACAAAGGATGTTGCGTCATGAGGCGAAACGATACAATTCTTGATGGCTTCCATGTCGTGCGCGTTTCCCTTGAATACTTGAAGGTTGGGATGGATTTCGGGGGAGAGTACAGACGTAAGTTTGTCTGGGTTCCGACAGAGTGCGATGCACGTGAAGCCGGCAGCCAGCGATCGACGCAAGGCAGCTTGGCCACAGCCGCCGGTTGCCCCGAGGAAGAGGATCGTCTTCGGGGGTTGCATGTTGACGGACTTTACAGTGGAGACGGGGTAAGCCGATTACGGATGCGACGATGCGAATGCGGGTACCGGGGTCGGCAAGCTGGGGTGTAGTCGGACGGGGCGGAAGTCCGGTCGCAAAGCTGCAGTGGGGAGAGATGAGTAGAAGTAGCTGTATGAAAGCAGTGCGACTGTATGCCAGTTGCACTTTGAGTTTCACAGTAACAAACAAATGCGTGAGGGCCGAGAGGGCTAAGAAGTCGAAAACAGTGTTGATGGTGATCACAGTGGCAATACTGACTGACAGCAGCGGTGCTTTGGGGCGAGGAAGGCGATGCCCTTTTATTCTTTCCCAAAGGCCGGCGGTAATGCGATTCTCTACAAGGCAGCATTGCAATGGCAAAACCACATCATGGCGAAGGCTTCATGTTGAGCCGAGTTGCTGTTGGTGGCTTTGGCTACGACCCAGACATATCGGTCGAAGGATTAGATCCCTGACGCCACAAAGGTATTTCAGTGATAGGAAAGGGAGTCGACGGTCGAGAATTCCTCCGCCCTTACTCCCCGTCCGGATTGTGGCGTCCAATCAGATTCTTGAATCAGTGGTGGCCCTGCACGCATAGTAAGCTTCTCAGGACAGACAACGGGACAAACTGGCCGATTCATCACCCATGATTCCGTGATCCATGAAGAGGTGGGCTCAAATCGTACGCGGCCCGCCCGGGCACTTGGTCATTCGGTTCTCTTGCAGTTTATCACTCGACCGAAACCCTGCGCCTCCTCAGTTCTGCTGATGCATTGTCATTACCATCGCCCGTTGAGTTCAAACCTTACTGCCTGCAAAACCCCTCTTCCCTGACTCGTTTGCGATTCTCGATTCTCAAATAGTGACTCCCTCAGGCTTCTGGCGCCGCGTGACTCCCGCCTAGCCGAGCCTGTTCTGCGAAACTGACGCTTCTGAAGCTTTTGAAACTGGCAGGCTTCATTCACATCGTCTTCGCCATGGCTCTTCATCTCTTCATCCAGATGACATATGTCGGCCTAGCATGACATTCCGGATATCGCCCACACTCGTCACGAAACGACCCTACGAGTGTCACTTTGCGACCTCGTCGAGAAATTGGCTTCCAACTTGGCATCATTGTCCCGTCTTCGACCGCCAACTTGTACTGGCAGCGCGCAAGATGGGTATCGGCAATACTGCGGACGACATGTGCATCCCTGCAAACCCAACCTTGAAGCACAAACGTGACGTTTCGTTGTGGCGAAGACAGTCTCCCCTACTCTCATGCGGTACTGGGTGCGGCGATTCACTCCAGCGTGGGCAACACAGGATCGTTTGAGTTTCATCTGAACTCTCACATCACTTACTTCCTCAAGGAACGTGCTGGATGAATCCCAATGAGCAACTTATCAAATCACAAGTCACAAGCAAGGGTGCTGGGAGCTTTTTCCCTCGGCCGGAGGGTCGTCACGACCCAGGCCTCATCCATGCTGTTTCGTAGATCTCTGACACCAGCTCCCAGCTGTCGGACTACGCTTTTTCCTATGGTCACAATAAAGATAGCAGTGTGCCTCCAGATCGAATCGCTCGGGCACGACCAGATGTGATCTGGTTATCATCCCTAGACCAATCATTTAATCCCATCCTGGATTATACGACATGCTTGTGGGAAAGTCGGTCCCGGAACTCATCCTGGTGAGGACCATGGTGGTCTTCTTCCAGTACCTAGGCTTCTTATGTTTCATTTACTTCTGGTTTATTTTCGCCATAGTAGGTGTGCCTGGGATTGCTCACCCCGTGTCTATCATAATCGAAGTTATTGGTCTTATCGAAATCGTCTTCTACTTCGCCTTTTATCTTCCATTCCGATCTCGCTTACAGAAGCCGGGCTTCGAAGTCGAACCATTGTCGCAGGCCGAGCGCCGACAATTCTTCCAAAAGGGTCTTGACCACGCTCCAGATGTCGAGCAGTACATACGGAAATGGCATTGCAATGCCCAGCTTGGAGATATTCGCAGAGAGAATGTGAAGGACTGGTTGATGTGGGCGCTGTTCGACAAGCAGGGCAATCCAGGAGAGCATGACGCCGAGCTCGAGGAATACATCGCAGATGCAGAAGAGCGCGCGGGAGTAACCATCAAGAAGGGATATGGTGACTCTACCCCAATGCGCCTCAGTTTCGATCCGATCGACATCAGACATCGCAGCTTGCTGTTCTATCTTGTAAGTTCATCACCTTTCAGCGACGAAGAACTAGCTCATGAGACAAAATCAGATAGTAGGAGGCCTCGACCTCTTTGTGACCATTGTCCTGGCGATCAGAGGGTTCAAATTTTACCGACAACCGCGCAAGACTTTCTTCTCCGTCTTCCCTCTGCGACCTATGACCCTTCTGGCACCGAATGAATCGAATAGCTCGCAGCTGAGTTACTTTTGCCGTCCCCATTCATCCAAGGAACATCGCCCGATCCTGTTTATCCACGGAGTTGGTGTCGGCCTGCTCCCATATCTATACTGGCTGTGGACTATTCCTAAGGACGTCGGTGTGCTCTGTATCGAGATACTACCCGTCTCCTCACGCATTTGCCCGCCGTTGCCCCCAACCGATGAGCTTGTCGCCGGCATGGATGCAATTATTCAGCAACAAAATTATAACGACTTTGTGTTTGTGGGAAATTCCTTCGGTACCCTATTTGCGGCGCCCCTCCTCAAGAAACCAGACCTGGCGAGACGAATAAACTCCATCGTCCTCATCGATCCCGTTTCGCTGCTGCTCCATCTTCCTGCAGTGGCCTACAATTTCACTCGACGAACACCGAAATGGGGCAATGAATGGGAGATCTGGTTCGTAGCCACAGACGCGATGACAGCGCACACCTTAGCGAGGCGCTTCCGCTGGCAGGACTTTATTCTCTGGACCCCTGAGCTTCAAGGGAAACGCACGACAGTGGTCTTGGGCGGCGAGGACTGCGTGACAGACCCAGACGCGGTGGCCAGCTACGTCTATTTCGGCGACCTCAGCTATAGCCGCGCTGATAAGCACGAGTGGTCCACTACGCCTGACAGATGGTCAGGGCAAGGGGAGCTAGAGCTGATGTACCTGGCTGGCATGGACCACGGACAGGCATTCCTCAGTATCAAGCATATGCCGCGGATAGGGAACGTGGTATTAGAGTATACGAAACTAGACCAAGAGATGGAATCTCGACAGGCAGAGGCTGTGAAAGAAGAAGAGCAAAACCAGATCTGAATGACTTTATGATTTATGGGGGGTCTATCTGCTCTTTGGACTGCAGTCGAGAGGTTATGGTCGGGAACCTGCCCTCGCATGCAAAAGTCATTCGATATCCACATGTACATCACAATGAGAAGATATAAATGATCGTTCTCCCCTGCGACTGAACCGAATACACATCCTGCGTATTGAGTCTTGTCTTGGGCAATCCATGACAGAGAGGATGAAGAAGCGGAAGACGCGGAAGACGCGAAAGACTCAAGGGTCAGCATGCCAACCCCCCACATTTCTCCTGCCCCTTAAGCACGTCGGGTTGCCGCCGCTGAACTTGCCATTTCTTTTCTTTTGCGAGATGTATCGATTGCGAGAAAAGGAAATTCGGGCAGCTTGTCCTTGCATGACGCAAGGGGTTGCCAGGACTGGCGCGGCCCCAAGGCGCCACAGGTTAATCAATCGAAACGCTCCATCGCCGTTCGAAGTAATCAGATGCTTGCCTTTACCAGGGTCTAAGATGAGCCACGACACGTCCTTCACACAGGCGACGCGTCTTGGCCTTTGGAACAGTTGGGATTGATGGCACCTCCCATTCGAGACGGTTGGGTGATTGAGCGATGGCTATTTGGTCGATAAAAAGGAGATCTTCCTCCTCAGAATATTGGTCAAGGTTTACCCTCCATCAATTCTTCCACCGCGTACCACAACCATGGCCGAAGTCGAGGATGCAGTCGAAGATACCACCAGCCTCGTGCAAAGCATGTTGCGTTCCATCTGCACAAACATGGCAGTGAGCTGCGCAAGAGAGGTCATTCCCGAAGTGCACAGTCCGCATGTTTTCACCGTGGAATTCCTCCAGCCTCTTTACCTCATTTGCGCCTTCCTCGACATCAGTCCTGAAGGCAAGCAACTTGGCGACACGGTAATGACCCAGCTAACCTGTTTGGTAGTATGGCACGGCATCCTCATGGAAGCAGCCAATCTGCTGGCCTGTAAGCGACTCAACATCGACGAATGCGAAAATCAGATATGTTTTTCGAGGCGGGACCGGCGGAAAAAACACCGCAAGGCACCATGCTGCGCGTGCTGCCTTTGCCTACCAGGCTGCCGTCGTTGTGACGCCGAGCTACAGGTGCAGTCGTACGAAAAGCCACCGCGAAAGCAGGAGCGGTTTGAGCTCCTGTTCAGGAAATCCCATTTGTGGGATATATACTACGCTATGTGTGGTGTGTCGGTACGTTAGGCGTAGAAGGGGAAGCATGGTCGCTTCAAGGTTCGCATTTCACTCATCTAACAGTTGGCTCGGGTTTAAGAGCCCATTCGACAGGTTGCCCGGGATCCAGCTTTGGAAAAGCCAACAATCGCATGTAAGTGCCGTCGGTACGCTGGTCAGGTCCTCTCAACATTTGGATAGAAAACATATCGGCTCGAAGCATTTCTCGTCAAGCAGTCAGGAAGAAAGTACGAGCTCCAGAAGACCTGCATGAGGGACGGGCCGGCCAGGCATGTGCTCGAGATCGAGGGACTACGTACAGAGCTGCTGCGCAACACAGAGGCGATGGAGGCTCTGTTGGCGGAGAACGAGCGGTTGCAGGCGGAGAACGAACGGATTCAGGCGGAGAACTCGCAGCTGCGGCGGGAGAAATGCCACTATGTGAGGCTACTTGAGTCGGCAGGCGTGCCGGCGCCGTCATCACTTGAGCTTTCGCTGTTGGATGCGGCTGGTGACGGGATTCTGGCATTGGGAGTCGGGGAACCAACTTCTGATTACGAAGAGGAGTAAGTCAACTCCCACCACTCAAGCTGAAATCGCCGTCGCTGATACAGCTCACACTCCGTTCAGTGGCTTGGTGACTAGCTCTGCCAGTGATCAAGACAGTTCATTGCCTGATGCCCCTGCGCTGGTACCAAAGAGTAGATCTCAGCGGGCAAGCGAGGCTGCCGCAGCAAACAAGGAGCGCGCAAGACGGAAGCGGGAAGCGCGTCTGCAGGCCCGACAACGTAGCAGTGAAATTGAAGAGCTGCTTACGCGGAATGAGCTCGCCGACGTCGAATCCGAACTCCGGCGTCTGACGAAGCGTTTGCCGTTGGAGTTCAGCGTCACCCAGCGGCGCGACACTGATCATCAGGTCACAGGCTGTTTGCGCCAAGTGCTCTGGGTTGAGAAATATGTGGAACTTCACGACGCTATCGACGAGCGGATCCTTCCACTCGCAGGTGCGGCGCTGTTGCTTTTCAAGACGACCGCAAGAAAGTGCAGGACTCCTGTTTTCAAAGGGTGCTGGGATCGCTATAGGAGAATTCATGGCCTCTTCATTCGGAGAAGCCATGCTCTTGGTTACAACACCTGGGGAGAACGTCTGGCTGGCGAAAGCTGATTTTGTACTTGGACTGCTGCTATACTCTTTTCCTGTCTGCAAGACTTTGCTCCTAAATTATCGTTGTTGCCTGTTGTAAATGACGCCCGTGGTGCATGTCGCCTATGCAACTTTCCTCAATCTTAGCCTTCCACCCCCAAGGGAGTGCGGGAGGGGATTGAAAGTATGATGAGTATGGAATGTGTCCATTGTTCATGACAATACAACATTCGGTATTCTGTTTCTCGTCGCAGTTTAGCGGGCTATCAGGGGGTGCCATGATCCCAGGTCTTTATGACTTGGGCGCGTCTGTCAAGGGCACATATCGAACACCAAAAAGCTTCTCCTTGACGACGGAGCCGTCCTCCTTCTTGTCAATGGCCCAGACATACTGGTCGTAGCCGTTGTCGTCCTCGACGGGGATAAACATTCTGTACTGCAGTCAGCCCCCGCGACGACCGTCGTCGACATACAGGCAGTCGACTACTCACCTGCCCGGAGCGCGCAGCTGATCCACCAGCTCCTGATGGAGCTCCACGGCTGCAGCGCCGACGTGGATGGCATCCCACCCGGTGCCGCCTCCCTCTCCCCCTGGCCGCGGGGCTTCTACCCACCCCTTCCTCCCGTCGCCCGTGTGAAATCGCACCTTGCCGCTGTCCAGCAAAGCCCGCCCTTCGTCGCTTTTCCGCATGTTGCGCTCTCCCAGGTCCCTCAGTGCTCCGATGTGTTCCAGTCCGACCACCAAGCCCTTTTCTCCCACGAGCTCCGCGAGCAGGTGCGTCAGGTACCCCGACCCCGAGCCTATGTCCAGCACGCGCGGGGCCGGTTTCGTCGCGGAGGGGGTGAGGTGCGGGAGGAGGGACTCGGCAGCGGTGGCATGCATGTGCGGCGCGGAGATGGTTGCTTTGTGACCGATGGACTGGGGAGAGTCTTCGTAGGGGGCGGAGGGAGCGTAGTATGCGCGATCAACCTAGAATGTCAGCACCTCCCTCTGCTCGCGCCAGCCGTTACCTTGGCGAAGTGGCGAGGCATGCCATTTACCTTGAGAAAGGCGTCCTTGACCCGTTGGTCTTTTATGAGACCATTACGCCACAAGTTCTCGACGAGGTCTTTATTTGATGCGCCGGAGCTCCGCCAGGCCATCTTGAAGTTGAGAGGGAGGGAGCGGTGCACTTGGCGTGTGGTTTGATCGTTGACCGAGCTTGGGACGAGCTTGAGAGCTCTCCGAACGAGACGGTACCGAGAAATCGTGGCGGCGAACAAATCCGAATAATGATGGAAGGGAATGGGAAAACTCGAGGGACCTGAAGAAGGTGGACAACTGTGTCGCGGTGTATTGAGCTAGGTACGCTTCCTTACCAAGGTGCTTATCAACATGAAGAATGGAAGGTGCATCTAGACCTAGGTATGTGGCGGGAGCAGGTCGATGCTCTCGGGCGATGGTTCGCGTGGAATGATGTAACCCGCTTCCCCAGAGCTTCTAGAGCCGCTGGAGATGAGGGGCAACCGCAGTGAACCGTTGCAGTTTTGAGCCCACAACACCCCGGCGAGCGCTAAACCTTCGCCCCCGCTTACGGATCATCCCGCTGCGACCACTAAATTCCCTTGAAAGATTCCCCACGAGCACCGCAGAAATGTCACCGTTTTGCTCCGTCAAGGCCAACCGTGTCAGGTAATAATCAACGCTGTCGAAGGTTTTGTTTGTCACACTAGTCAGGCAGTCGAGGAGCAGATGTACTAGAAACTCAGTTGTGATGTGATACTGAGGGAGGGCCTCGCGCTCCCATGGCCAAATATATATGCAGATTACCCGACGCCGTGAATTCCCATCCCATTAGCACCCCACGATGACACAGCCAAACAAATAGTAAAGGGTACCATTGTTGTAGACTTTTGTCCAGTAAACGGAAAGCCTACGACACATTGCTGCGCGTTGTGATGCATGAAGACGCCAAAACTAAACCACTCTCTCCGTCGATTCGCCCTCGGCAATGATGGGCACGGGCAGGCCGCGGTCTGGGCTCTGGAGCACCAGCTGCTCGTGCCGCCTCGCCTTCAGATAGTCGCTAACAGATCTGATAAGAACGAACCAGCCAACAACCATTAGAATGTAGGCAATCCATTCCTGTCCAGTGATGTCCGCCACGCCACCGCCACCCTCGCCCGTAACCGCGTTGGGGTCGAAGTTGTGAGAATTCGGGTCGGGAGGCGCGGCGTAACCGTCTTGGCCGTTCATCTTCGGTGGATGGTCACCCTCCGTCGTTCCCTTCATGTAGAAGCCGTACTGGATCAGCGTGATGCCGAGGCCCGCGCGCGAACCGTTCTTGGCGGCGTGGGTCGAGTGAAGGAGGTAGGTCAGGATGAAGCCGACGATCTGGAAGGACATGGAGATCATGCCGTTCCAGACGAAACTGAAGAGTGAGCCCACGGGCATGCCGTCGATGTAGACTTCGTCGGGGCCGCCGAGGCCAGGGGCGAGGATCGTGGTTTCCCAGTAGGGGGGAGCGGCATCGGCAGCGGCCTGCTCGTACGTCTATTTCTTGTCAGTATTCGGTCGGAGTCACGGGTATTCTGCCCTTGGGGATTGATGCGAGACGTACGGGCGGTTGTTCTTCCTTCACCTCGCCTCCACGCTCGGGCTTCGCAGTCAGGTTGGAAAAGACGCCTTCATTCTGGATGCCGCTGCCGTAAATGCGGAAGGGCGTTGTCGGGCCGCCGGCGGTGGTGGAGGCTGTTGGTGGCAGTTGTGTGACATGGCGTTCGGGCTGGGGTCTCGATTCGGAGGAAGGGTTGCGTGATGCGTCGCGGGAAGCCTGGGTGGAGTCGGCGCGGACTAAGCGTTGTCGGTCATCGGCGTCGTCATCGCTATCGTCACCGTCGGTATCGAAGGCGTCTGCCAGTGCGGGATCAACTCCACGACGGTCGCGCGAGGACGCTCTGGAGTGGAAAGAGGGCGGTGGTGAGTTGGGGACTGGCTGCGATTGTCGTCTTGGCGGAGCGGAGTTGGTGGCTTCGAAGCCGTCTTCGTCGTGATCATGGGCATTCACCTAATGGAACAAGACGTCAGTATGTTTGTCGCGGCGGTGGAAGGTATCGGGGCCAGGCTATGAAACTTACCCTCTCATAACCTCCAGCCATCTTGACGATGTTTTGTTTGTGTGGGTTTGCGGCGGCGTGTTGAAATCGAGGAACTCGAAAGGCCCCTTTCGCCACTGCGGACGATGCGACTAGCGTTGATTGATTGAAACGGCGAGAGGAGGAAGGGAAAAGGCCAGGCAGGGAACGTCGGAAGAATATGGGGTCGGGGGGAACGCAGAGGAAAAGAAACAAAGCGGAAAGGAGAAATGTCGATCGTCAGTCGGAATCGTAGGAGACGTCGGAGGGAAGAAAGGCGGCAAAAGGAATGACGGGTGTTTGGAGGTTGCTAAAGAACAATGCAAGGAAAAGACGACGAGGGCGACGGGAAACAGCCGTAGTGGGCGGGCTTCTGCTGCTGTTCCTCCTGCAGTCGCGGCGGTTGGCTCGGTGCGTTTGGGGGGCAGCCGACGGAGGTGCACCTCACTACCTAAGGGGCGAAAGTACGGGTGGAGGCTTATGCGTCGACTTCCGTGCCTTCAGTGTTGGGTACCTTAGGTGTCTTACGTAAGGCGGGCTTTGCGACAATAAAGGCGCCAAAATGCCTGGAGCAAGCCCCTGTGTCCACTGTGGCAGTGATGCCCTTTGACATGGCTCGGGACTATGCGCTAAGCCATTCCAGCTTAGCAGGCCGTGGCCTGGGCCGAAGGTGCTGGAACAGTGGGGAGGACATGGCGTGGGCACGAGACAACTGGGCGAGGTCGGTCATGTGACCTGCCAATCCCACACTGCACTCGCGCAAACCTGTTGATTTCGACTCGGTCTACAGCGTAGCTTTCGTCTCTCGACAGTGTCATGGCCTAGTTAGGAATGGGAGCAATCTGGAATGCTTGAGGCGATATGGTTGCCGCTACCTTACCGACCAATGACATTGGCATACCTCGCTTGAGCATGACAATGATGAAGATGGAGACACTAACGATAACACCCATTTCTCAACATCCGTAGCCGGCCACATGGTACCTTGTGTTACCCGTTCTACATACATGATTCTAGACTCTATCTCAGCTCAAACTTGCTGTGCCTTTATGATGTTTTACTGCTGCCTCTTGTCTCGGTTTTGCAGCTGCTTCGTGAGTGGTTATGGGCCGGGGTTGCGCCTGGCACCCTGAGCTGCCTGCTTGCAACTTAGTGACGTGGTTTTATTCATAAAGCATATAAGTCTTCCTTCTAATGGTTACTGTTATTAACTTTAGAGATTTTGTCTTCTGTTTTCATTTATTGAATCGCTGGATTTAGTCTGATTTGGGGTATCTTCTAGGGTAAACGATTTCTCAAAGGTATTTCACAACGGTTCTTGGCCAAAAGGCGCTGAGAAAGCTATGGGTTTCTCGATCAATGTCCATCGCCTAGGTAGGTACTCAGCCGTTTAAACATGATATAAATACAAGAAACAATGCGAATTCAAGGCACCATGCAAGCCGACAGACATCACAAAGACTTAATCATGCCCCAGGTACGGTTCTCAGTCTGTCGTGCACCTACCTACCCTGCGGCAGGCCGTCGTCAAGAGCCAATCATAATCCTCACAATAATCCACCCCAAAGCTGCTCTGCCGATTGCCGGAACGGGTAAGCTCCGGGGCAGCGTGCGCTCCAGAAATTAATTTGCGTCTGCCATCCAGCGCAGAAATCCTTGACGTCGATGACGGCGTCTTCCATCTTTTGCGACTTCGCCATCTCGTCGCATTAAACCCCCTCCGCCGGCTAGGATTCACTTCCACGGCGAGACCATGTTGGGAGAGTAACAACCAAACATTTCACCCTTTCCTGTTCTCTTCGCAAACATGGCCCGGTCAACAAGCGTGAGTAGTTCCCTTCTTCGCTGCAGCTCCCACGATGCGTCCCTCCGTTGCTTACACGGTTTAACTGCAGCAAGCATACAAGCACTTCCAGCGCGCTCTGGCGCTGTGGCCGAAAGACAACCTCCGCCCCGAAGTCCAGTTCCCCGAATTCGCCGCCCGCGGCCTCGAGAGGAGGTTTGCCAACCCCGCCGTCGACGAATTGAGCGAGCTGAAGCAGGCCAACGCCCTGTACGCCCTGGCCGACGACAGGTTCAAGAAGCAGGTGTGTGCCACGGCCCCGTGCGATCGACTCACCTCCCGCTGACCGCCCTCAGTTCCCCTTGAACGGCGAGCTGCTGCAGCCCAAGAGCCAGCCCACATACTTCAATGATTTGCTGAGAGAGCTGGAGGAGGCCCCCACGAGAGGCTGGCTGCAGAACATGTCCAAGAAGCTCAGCGGCATGTTCAGATTCCAGTAATGAAGGACATGATACATCAAATACCCCGCGCATGTCGCACCGTCCCTGGCAAGGCCATGTCCCTCTGCGAGACGTTATTGCTGGACCCTCAACTATGTACAGTACCATGTATAATATCTGTACCCCGTATCGTGTGTCTATGCCAACACAAAGTAGACCCAAACGCCATTCTATTTTCAAGTACCAACGTTTCCTAAATGTACCGTCTCTCGGGGTCCATCTTGTCCATGAAATCCATGCTCTTCTCGTACATGGTAAACACCAGTCCTCCGCTCACAATGAGACGGGCCAGACGAGGCAGCGCACCGCTCCAGAACGTCAGCAGCCCCTCCTGCTTGAAGATCATGCCCGCGCAACGGAACGAGTTGCCGTACTGCGTCCGTGCCTCGATGCTCTGCATTCTGGTCTTGATCGTGTCGAGAGGCTGCGTGACATAGACCGTGATCAGGCCGGCGATGCCACCCATCGCAAAGGTGCCGACAGCGCCGAGCTTCTCCCCGGGCGCGGTGTAGGACTCGGCCAGCTGCTTGAGCATGTTGTATGCGCCGAACCGGGTGGCACTGTTGGCCGCTTGACGTGCCGTCGTGGGGACGAAGCCCTGGAAGAAGCCGCGGATTCCACGTTCGCGGGCGATGATGGGGACGGCGTGCAGGAAGCCGCGCATACGAGGCTTCGGGGATTTCCTATCGTCGATGCTGCGAGGCAAAGGGTTAGCAGGACGGTGGCGAGACTCGCCGCGATGGGAAATGACCTACAGCGTCGTCTTGATACTCTCAAACGGCGTCACGGCCAGCGCGGACTCTGTGACGCCAGCGCCAAAGCCGGCAATGACCGTCTTGGGGCCTGAGATCTTGCCGTCGGCATCGGCGAGGAGCTTCTTGTACTGGTCAAACGCGACAAATCCTGCCATTTGCGTCGTTAGTCGTTGTCATCGCACACGGCCGCGTAGTCGACGTACGGATTCCCGCCTTGAGGGAGTTGCCGATGATCAGCGTGGTGCAGCCAGCATACCACTGCTTGCCAAAGGGCGGCCAGGGCAGCTTCTTGCCGTCGGCCAGTTGGCGGTTCAGTTGCGACCGGGTCTTGGCGACTATCGCGAGGCGTCAGAGGCAATTCGGGAGGGGCATTCGGCTGTAGGGATTCTTACACTCGGCAGGGTACGTGATGGCTGTGGGCGCGATTAGCTCAGGTCATTGTGTTGTTGTGGACGAGTCCGGTCGTCCTAACTCACCAATCTCCAGGGCGCCGGCCGTAGATCCAGCGATGATGGATCGCAGGACCGTAGGGCCCCCCTTCTTGACGGGCTGCGACTCATCCTTGGTCGCCGCGGGGGCGGTCGTCGCGGTCGACATCGTGGAGTGCGGTGGGCGGGATGTGCCGAGAAGGACGGGTAATCGATGCTAGTTCTCAGGGTTTGTCTCTTTTTTTTTCTCTTCCCCTCCAAAGAGCTCGACTTGCGTGCAGGCGCAAGCGTCGTGCCAGCGCTCGTGCACCTGCGTCCGAAATCGCGGGGTGTGGAGACCACTGACAAACTCGTCTCGGGTACGTACTGCCTGACGTAACTCTTCACCGACACACCGAATCATTGCTTTCGACTAACACCAGTTTGGTCCATGACGAACCGCTTCAGTCCGTTGCTTTACCAAGGAATGACGATAAACCATCGTTGATGATTCCTTGGTGCTTTCTAAGTGAACATGAAAAAAATTCAAGGTCAGGTAAAGGTTGGGACTTCTGAGCTCGCAAATTGTCCCATGGAACTGCTCGGGAGATGAAGATATACACGCTTCTCGTCAGATTTCATGTGTTCTTATCCTCTGACTCGAGCATGACATACCTTTCCAAGCTTTCACATTATATCTTACGCTTGCAAATACTTGCAAATAACATGCTTACCATGGTTCACAATAGACGCAGTCATGACCTCGCTCCAGGCCAAAGCCCATGACGCCCATGCCTAACACGCCAGCAACAACGTAGGCGTTGTTCAAATCGAAACATCCAACCATATCACGTTCTATGGGAAGTCTTGGACTCGACAGAATACGGTTTGCCCAATTACGCAGCATTGATTCACAATATTCACTTGGGAACACAGACGTAGCGTGGGGGCGGAAAGCTTAATTACAGCTAAAGAAGACATGGCCCCGTCTCCCTAGTCTATCAAAGACTATCGTATATATACAATGAAACCAATTTCGCCTTTGTCGGACAGCGTATTTACTGCATGGCAGGGACCTTGATGGAGGCAATGGTCCAGACCTTGCCGCCCTCGCTGCTGGTAAGACCGGTGTAGACAGCACCCTGGCTGGAGCCGATGGTCTCGCCGAAGGAGGTATCGGCGTTGGAGAGGGTGATGACGGTGTTGGCGTAGGTCTGCTCAGCAATGGTACCGGTGCAGCCGTCGTTGCACTCGGTGCCGGTTCCGTAGCCCCTCATGAAGGGTCCGGACTTGTGGTCGAGCGAGCTGATGACCTTGCCGGAGGACACGTCCGTGACGGTCTGGCGCCAGGTGTTCTGGTCGGACTGGAGGGTGTAGTCGATCTTGATGGCCTGGTCGCCCTTGACGGGGGCGGACGTCTCGCTGTCGATCTGGCCGAAGGAACCGAAGACGGAGGCGCGGACGCACCACTGGCCGCTGGTGGCACCGCACCAGCTGTTGTCGGGCCAGGACTCGAGGGTCGTCTGGATGAGGTCGCCGGTGCCGTTGGACATGCCGGGCCAGAGGAAGAGGACGCCGGCCTGCGTGGGGGGAGCGGCGCCGGGGGTCAGGGTGGTGACGGCCTTGACGATGGTGGACTTGGAGGGACCGAGGGAGACGGCGCCGCCCCAAGAGTCGCGCTTGGCGAATCCAGTCTTGGTCGGGCCCTCGATGGGGAAGATGCCGGGGAAGGCCATGGCCGAGGCCGGGAGGACGGCCATGAGAAGGGTAGACAGCTGCATGATGGCGACGGTTGGTTTGTGTTTGAAAAGAACGGTTGGAACGAATGTAAACGTCTGATGGAGAACGGTATGGACAGAGAAGTGAACGTGAAGAGCTACTAGACAAGACACAGACACGGAATCGACGCGACGACTGAAGTTCTTTATACTGCACTACATCTCGTTCTTGGCCTTCTAGAACCAACAAGGTCCCAGGCCGCTCCCTAGAAGCACGCGAAATGAGAGGAGCTCAATACAACGTAACACTGTTCAGAAGCGGAGGAGAGGTTCTGGCCCATCACCCGTTGCAAGAACGGAGATATCCTCCATTTGGGTGTTTACTAGGCTGTAAGGGAGTGGCCCGATGGAGCGCTTGCCAACTTCGTCCAGGGTACAAGGATAAAATTCCACGATAGGGGGACGACAGAAGCGCGTGTCGACTGGAATACGGGGAAGATTTGCCGGTGGGATGTGGTAGTTCCGCCGGAAGAATCCTTCTCGTTGGTCACTACTCGTAAAAGAGGGGCGCAACTGGCGTTGTGGTCTCGTTTGTTGGAAACACTAGTCGAATCAAGGCCTGTCCACCCTCGGCCGAGTCTAGAAAACGGAGCATTATGTGAGGCTGATATAGCTCCCGGATCGTTGGGACAGACCTCTACTCAAAGTGAACAGTGAAACGAATTCGTCATAGGCGGAACAACGAGAATCAACTCAAACGGGGGGAGAAAAGGTGACTGCTGGGCTCTAAACACAAGACCCGGGCTGCAAAGTCTCAGGGCGTAAGTCGGACTTTGCGTCCGTCATCTTCATGACTCTTGCTCCATGTGCGGACCCCGTGGCAGCAGCGCTTTGAAGTCATCAGAGGCCCATCAATGAATTCCGGAAAAGACCACACCCATCTGCCAAGTCGGCAGAGGGTCGGGAACACGATGTGACGATGCCTCTTAGCCGTGGGTGATATTCTCCCACCAGTGGTAGCGAAGTTGCCGGGATAGCAAGGACCAGCACTCGGGATCCCACCCGATTGACGCCTCTCGCTAAGAAGTGCGCGGTATGGTCCAAATAGCCTTTAACCGTAAAAGGAACAACAAACACTCTATTGTTTGCAATGAGATATCGTGTTGAGGATAAAGAGTTCGCTTTCGGGTCACCGTTGGTGCCCCTGAATAAAAATCAGACGAGCGAGGGGCACACTGAACAAATGACAAGACGGACTAGTCCGGCCCTGTAAACGGGGCCATATGCCGACGACGGGCCAGATGACGTAAGGAAACACTCTGTGTCAAACAAAGGGGCAGCGAGACGATGAAATTGGAAATCCGGCCGACATCCGCGTTGGGGGAAAGGAAGCGACTCAGGGCGCTTCGAGCAGGTATTTCCGCCGGATGACGGTGTGGAATTCCGAGCGGCCATGCTTTCGGGCGGAAACATGGCTCGAGTGCAAACCGGACTTGGCGCCGCGCCGTGGTGTCGGGAATTTCAGAATGCGGAGGACCCGAGGCGGCCGTTGGGGTGCAGAAGTCTCCGTGTGCGCGACCGATCGCCCGGTGCAAAATGTCCGACTGGTCGTCGGCGAGGGTCACCTGGGTCCGGCAGTCTGGGCACACGGCCGTCAAGCGTTCCGGATTACGAACCCCATAAAGCCAGCTGACGTCGATTAACCTTTGTACAGAGAGTACTGCGTACATGTGCTGAGGGTGTTCATCGCGTGTAAATGGCAGGATTCGGGATTTGTAAGGGATGAAGATCCTGAATGATTGACATGATTGAAAATAGAACAGAGGGAAAGACAAAACTAGCTCACAGACGGCTCCATTGATGTGCATTCGGGTTGGAGACGTGACATCACCGTCGCCAATCTCGACATCGTCGACACATCATCGTCAACGTCGTCGACGGCGTGATGCGCCCAGGTGATGCAAGAGTGTGAAGGACGGCTGGCGTGGACGACGAGCTAGGGAGGGCGGCAGTCGCAGGCCGAGAATGGGTGAATGGGTGTTGGCCACACTCATGGCACCGCCGGGGAACCCAAGCTTTCAACCCAGAGGCTTGGGTTCAGAGTTTCCACCTGCCAGCTGGCCTTCAACAAGGACATGGCACGCTGAACGGGCTGCTGTCTTACTCCGAGGCAAGCGGGTGTCTTCCAGGGGATTACCATAGTAATGTACATTAGTACGAGCCAAGCCAGCTTCTCCTGTGCGAGGCGCAAGTGTGGCTAAGCTGCCGCTTGTCTTTTGGTGATGAAGACTGTCCCACCAAGGGTTAGGTACTATCGTAAGTACTTCGGGGTCCCTGGGATGCCCGTCTCAGGGCCTTGCGGCACGCGCGGGTGTGCGCCTGTGCCGCGTTCGACTTGCCACAGCGGGCACTGGACCCTTGAAGTTGACGTGGAAGGGGGCCAAGAGCCTGTCGATGTCGAGGTGGGATGTCTCTATTCGTTTCTGTTGCACTGTTGCAGAGGTCTCTCTCCATGGCCGGCGTCAATGTGTGAGTTGGCGTCGAGAGCGAGGAGACGATGAAGACGATGAAGACGAGGGGCTCCCGGCTAGGTGTTTTGTCGACTGACTCTATGCAAGATGAGACTGCAAGTCTATCCCCAACTCTAAGAGGCTGGTGGATGTTCTCGGGGCGACGCTGATCTTCATGCGAATATGCTTATTCGTCCAAGTCGGCCCCCAGTGAATGCTTCATCCCTGTTCCCTTTCCACAGCTCGAGCCTCGAGCCCCTCAGCGCTCGGCGTCTCCTGGCCTTACCCGCTGCGGCCAAAATCCAATCCAATATTCATCCATCCCCTTTGGCAGTTGACATGTGCGTGCTGTCGACCCATATTATCAGCATGTCTGGACTCAGCTGCCATGGACATGCAGTAGCGACTGTGTGTGTCCGTACATACCAATCCCTTTGGACGTCGTTGTAGCCGGTCTTTCAGGGTCTGTTTCAATGTCCAGGGGTCTCGAGCATTAGTGCATAGAATATCAGGGGACTCGAAGGGCAATCCGAGACCAGTCATCGTCATCCAGCGCCTGGAGCGAGACAACGAGACAGTCGCGAGGGCCAGTCAGCGAGGTCGCAGCCTCGTCAGCCCAGTCAGGCAGAGGGGCAGATGAAGCTGATGGAGTCCGAGTGAAGCTCACGCAAACACGGCATGGTACGATGCAGGCAGGGCTGCTTGCCGCATGTGCGTCGCTATCGCTGTCGCTGCATCATCATCCAGTCGCCCCGAGCTCATCCCGTCCCATCCATCCATCCATCCATCCATCCATCAGTCACCTCCCGTGCCCCCATCCCTTCCGTGGTTCCGTTCCGTCCCATTTCGCTCAGTCACCAAGATGCAGCAGAGAAAAGGATGCGAAAAATAGCACAGGCCCCCCCTCCTCTTTCACACGACAATCCTCCCGGCTCTGGATCTGCCCCTCCTGCAGGCGGCAACCTTTTCTCAACCTCAGCAAGCAGAAAAGTCTCGTGCACAGTCAGACACGAGAAGACGACGGCGACGAAGACGAGGACAAGTTAGACTCTGATCCGTGCCTCTGTTTCAGTTGAGTTGAGTTGAGTTAGATTGCAACAGGCTGGGGGGTTACTTAGTTTTCTTCTCAGTGTCCAATTTGACGCCAAGACCAGGCGCCGCCCACACTCATCTCCCGCCTTTAAATTATCATCACCGCCGTCGCCGTCCCCGAAGCCCGTCTGCTTGCTGCTGCATAAACATTTTCTGTCCCAAAATAAAGCGGCAGACAAGAGAAGCCGGCAGAAGAAGTAGACACCTCTCTTGTCAACCCTACAAAGCGGCGTTTAAGCACACTCACGGGGCCCGGAAGTCGCTCTGCTTCTCGTTGTTTCGCTGCTTCGCATGGCAATCGCCGCTCACTGCTTCCGCGGAACAGCACAGCCCCAGCCGGCTGACGACTCGTTTTTGCCATTGGAACAAACACCCTGCCGTGTCCTGTTCAGCCACCGACTGCGATCAGTTACCTTCGTGCCTAGCTGGTCATCTTCATCATTATTAGCAGCAGCAGCAGTTGCCGAGTGAATCCAAGCAGGCCAGCTAAGGATTCTCGCTCCAGAAACAGAGGCCGACACCCCGGCTTTCAGTCGCAAAAGCACACTTGGGGGATAAGGGAAGGACGGCAAAGAACGAAACAAACAAACACAAGAAAACACCAACCAGGCACCAAGTTCAAATTTCCTGGTTTCTTTTTTCTTCTGAGCCTCGACTCTGACCTCATCCAATCCCTCCCGTCCGTGGTTCCCGCGCCCTGCGTCGCCTCGGACGCCTCATCACCAGCAAAACGAACCAACCAGCCAACCCGCTCGTCCCAAGACTGTAGTCATTTTTTCCAGGCACGGAATACGCAGCACACACACTCTTCTCAGGCACACACCCACATATACACATACATACACTCACATACACACACGAATACCAACGAATCGAATACGGACAGTCTCACGAGTACGTTGTCCATTCGTCGATTTTCTCATCCAGTCCGTCGTCGTCGTCGTCGTCGTCTGTCGTTTCAACTTTTCCCAAACGCACACGCCCCCAACCCCCCAAGCCGTCTGCAGCGTCGATCACCTCTTACTCAGATCGCCCAACCACGCCAACATTTCTTTTTATCCCTCCAATTCTCCTCAGGTACCGGTATCCGGACCTCCATCATCATCGCAAACTCTAGACGGCTCCGGCCCACACCAGCTCGCGACCTGTGACGGTGACAGCGCCAGCTCCCTGGTCACCCCGGCCACACGTCTCCGCCCTCAGCAGTCCACGTCCACGTCCACCCCCGCCGCCGCTGGGCCCGTTTCGCGGCACTTGGGAGCTGAGGTGCCGCCTATTTGTTCCCTGTGCCCTGTGCCTTGTGGTTAGGACCTTGGGCAGAGATAATTTGGAGTGGGCTGTGAACGCTCCCGCCTCACATCACCTCCTCGTCTTGGCTCAGCCACCCTTTTCAACCACTCACTCACTCACACACCAACACCACCAGACAATACAATACATTACAATACATTACAATCCAAC